GACATGAATTGGTGCATTGTCTTGCATGAAAACAGGACTTTCTTGCCGATTTTCACGCTAGAAAGGAGAAACCTTGTCGCGTAACGCCAAGGTAATCGGAAGAGTTCATTTTTTTCGATACGAAACTCAGCTTCAGACGTTCCGTTGGTGATGGCAGCCCAGACCATGAAGCTTCTCTTTTGTCAGGTCGTGCCAGCAGTACCGGTTGTCGTCTAGGCCGGCGCAGATGAGTTTTTTTTTCTCATCAGAAAACTGAAAAGAGAAGACAGGCAAGCAGTAAGGCCCGGCGGCCAACAGCTAACCGCCAATCGGTCCGGCAACTTCTTGTAACAGAGGCAATTCGGTTTCCACGATGGTTTTCTATTAGAAGCGGTGTCTTCCTCATATTCCTCCTGATTATGATCTCGGGACTTTTTCAAGCATGCCAAACAGTATCTTTCAGGAACGCCAAAACTGTCGAAGATGACTTGATTTCTGACACAGGCGCCGACGACATTTGGGTTGGATGTTTTCCCCTCTCTAAGAAACGGCGCTTTGATCCCGATCGGAACAGCAAGGGAGACCTTCAGAGCTCTTTAGCTCATCACCCCCATATTATAATTCGCGTATTTTGTCTGTTTGTTTGTTTGGTTTGTTAGTTTGTTTTGTTTGTTTGTAAGTTGTTTGTTTTGTTTGTTTGGTAAATTTGTTTGTCAAGTTTGTTTGTTGTTTGTTTTGTCTGTCCGGAAATTCGGTTCGACCTGAAGAACGACTTGGAGAGGTCCGGTCAAGGTGGGGATGGGTAGGGCGTGGGACAAGAAATAAAAAGCACACTTGACCTAAGGGAAGCTCCGCCCACAGTGGGCGGGGCACTCCCCGAAAGTTTGGGGTTCCGCACAAAAATGTTCATAATTCGCTTCCGGGCAGCCTAAAGATGGGGGAAAAAGGGAATAAGGTTAGTAAGGAGTCGCCAGACTAACTGTGGCAGGTACACCCTAAATGGGCGGGGCGTACTCAAGGTGGGCGGTGCTTCTCGCAAAATTCTCGCAAATATCTGGCGAATATAGGGCACGCTCAAAGCGTGTTGAGACCCGCCCACAGTGGGCGGGGCTTGCCCTAAATCGCAGGGTATTCATTTTAAATGTTTGTAGCTCAGTTCCAGAACACTCCAAATACCGGAAAAAAAGTGGATTAAGTTCAGCAGAGGGTCGTCGGTGAGGATTGTGGGGCAAAAACATTGTGGGCGGAGCCTGCTCCGAGGTGGGCGGAGCCAGACAAAAAAGGTCTGTAAAACGGTTCCAGAATACTCCAGACACCGGAAAAAAGTGGATTAAGGTCAGCAGAGGGTCGTCGGTGAGGAGTGGGGCAAAAACATTATGGGCGGAGCCTGCTCCGAGGTGGGCGGAGTCAGACAAAAGATCTGCAAAACGGCTCCAGAGCACTTCAAAGACCGGGCGGAAAATAAGTGGATCAGGTCAGCAGAGGTCGTCGGTTGAGGATTGTGGGGCAGATATTGTGGCGCGAGCGTTGCTCCGAGGTGCGAATCGACAAAGAGATACTACAAACGGCCCCAGAGCACTTCAAAGACCGGGAAAAAAACGTGGATTAAGGTCAGCAGAGGGTCGTCGGTGAGGATTGTGGGGCACAAACATTGTGGGCGGGCCTGCTCCGAGGTGGACGGAGTCAGACGAAGAATCTGTAAAATAGCTCAAGAGTACTTCAGACACCGGAAAAAATGGAGTACAGAACAAAAGGGGGATATCAGTTGAATCTAGAAATATGTGAAAGAAAGCACGCGCGGCGAAGCCGCGCCCGCCCGGCGCAGCCGGGCCGTATCAGAAGGAGCCACGCCGGCGTCAGCCGGCGAGGCGACTGGTATCCTATAGATTCCTTGACATAATTGTCGATAATGTAATAACTGTGGCCCAAATCCCGTGCGATTTGACTGTTCGACAGTACTTGGTCTTCTTTGCGATAATCTGTTCTTTTTCGAAGTGCGATAATGGATTTCCACTTGTCAAAGCCTAGAAAAGGCCAAAAGTCATAATGATGAGAAAGTTCTACCTTTATAAAATGAGATGCAGCGGGAAAATATGCAGTAGAACTA